CGGTGTTCTCTGCCCTGTCGCCGAGGGTGTGCTCAGTCCCTGTGCTCGGTCCCTGTGCTCGGTCTCTGTCTGTCATTGGTGAAGATATCAGAGTCCCAGTCCTGGCACGGAGCCCTGAAGGACCTCGCTCGTCACCCATCTCCATCTGGCCCTGGGGCTGTTGGCCACGGCGCTCTGAGTGTGACCAGTGGCCAATTCCTCATGTGCCCCACAGCCTGCCTGTCACATCCAGCTCTGCAATTCAGAGAGAAGTGTGTTGTGGGGGACCATGTCCAAGGTCTTACAGCAGGTCCAGACAGATGAAATCGGTAGCTCTTCCCTTGTCCACTGCTGTGGTCATTCCATCATAGAAGGCCGCTAAGTCGGCCAGGCAGGACCTGCCCTTGGTGCAGCCATGCTGGCTGCCTCGAATCACCTCCCTGTCTCCATGGCCTTAGCAGAGCTCCTAGGAGGATCTGCTCCATGACCTTCCCAGGCACAGAGGTGAGGCTGACGGGTCAGTAGTTCCCAGGGTCCTCCTTTCTGCTCTTTTTAAAAACGGGTGCAATGTTTCCCCGTTTCCGGTCCCTCCCCGTCAGAGTGGAAAACGTCTTCCCTAGATCTAGCCCAAATCTGCCCTGTTTTGGCCGAGAGCCGTTAGCCCTCGTCCTGTCGCTGCGGGCCCTGCTGCAGAGTCTGTCCCTGCATTTCTCCTGGGACCTCCCCTGACTGCCAGGACTTTTCATGACTTTGTCCTGGTACTCTGCCACGCTTCCACTCTTCCCACAGTAACCAGTTAAAGAAGTCATCTACCGCTAACACCCTTATCAATGCATCTACTCTGTCCCTTCTGGTTTTCCTTGCCCTGCTCTGCAGGAATCGTGACAGAATCTGCCTGGTGCTGTCAGAACCACTGCCCATCAGTCAGACTGATGTCCAATTCCCAGCTCTGTGGTCAGCAGGTGCATCCGAATGGTTGAATGCTAAGAAAACACTCCAAATGTGGGGACAGACACTGAGATAAGAAGTGATTCAGCTCCCTTGGCACGAATATTACAGAGGTGCCATGGAAGCACATCATGGACTAACAAGGCAAGATAAAATTGCCAGGTAGGATTCTCCCATGAGGCGTTTCAGGTCAAATGAGCATTTGTTAGTACCGGCGATGAGGCTGCTTCCGAGCATGATCTGCTGTAGCTTTGCTCACCACCAAGAACAACCTCAGCCTAAAAAATTCCTTGTCACATCAGACAATGCGTTGTAAATCTGAAGGCAACTGCCCATTCACAGCAGCTCTCTGCTTTGCTCAAACGTACGCTGCGTACCGGGGGATACAATAACAGGCTTTGCATCAAGACCGTTTTGAAGTCGCCCTTTTTTTTTTTTTTTAAGCTCCTCTTGTCCAGAATCACAACAATCTGAAACGCGGCTCGAGCACAGGAGGAAGCTCACTCACAGAACTGTACTGTCAGCAGTATCTTCTCGGATGTTTTGAATATTGTTGTGCTCGAAGCCCGATGGCAAGTGAGGATTTTACTCTGAAATGACATGACTACTTTTTTATACATGTTTCCTGTTATAAACAAGTCTGTAAGAAGCATTCCATGGAAACACATTTTCTTATGCAAACATACTAATAGCAGGAAAGCCAGATGAGTCTACAAACTGACTGCAAACACTGAATGAAACAGGAATTAGCCTCAGTATCATTAGAGGCAATATAGGCAATGCAGTTACGTACAACCTGCATGTAAGCCAGTCAACATCACTCGTGATGCCGAGGAGAAAAATGAGTCAAAGTTAGGGCATGTCCTTTGACAGTTGGCAGAAAATTTCATCAACAGAGGACAACAATGAATAGACATTTTTAATACAATATGACCAATAAAAATTGGGCAAGAGAGACCACATGCTCCTGAACAGCAGTGCCAAAACCACAGCCCAGGAACCGCACGGTTGTGGCTTCCTGAGCCTCCACGCTAGATCACACTTCCTCCCTCGGGGTCCCTGATTCACATGGCAGTGAACTGCAGCCCCAAGGAAGCACAAGGATGGCTCCGAAGTCTGAGGACCTCTTGAGTGAGTTGTCCTCATTGCTGAGGAGCACCTGTAGCAAAACAACCACGCCTCTCAACCAGCTCCAAGTTTCCAGCACATACAGTTGAAAGCCATGCAAAAGGCACCCGTTGCTAGAAGATAGAGCAAATGGACATGGAGGCATGGATCCATTCCACCTAGTTTTTAACTGAAATACTTAAGTTAGGAGTGTAGTTGCCCCTCTTGGTGTCTGTTCCAGCTTCCCAACATCTGCAAGCCAGTTTCATAACTGTTCTAATCATTAAGAATCTGTAAATTTTAAGACGGTTCCATTTTGGACACAGGAACTGACTGACTAACTTTGAAATTTCTAAAGCATTGTAAAAATGGAAGGTCTGTCTTCTATTTTCCCAGATCTTTACTTTTTAACAGTGTTAACTTACTAATAGAGAGGTATGTGAAATGCAATAGAAAATTCTCCCATTTTTAAACATAAATGAGCCTTGCAGTTCACCAGCCCACTTCCAGACATTCTTGCACTTCAATTCTGAGTCCTACTTCTGCAACTGAAAGATCTTCAGGCTCCTAAACTTTGGGGTCACCCACAAGTCCATTAAACACTGCTACATGCCATATCTGCAGAAATACAGCAGGAACTCCAGACACTTTTGTGAAGTGTGCTTACAACAAACCTTCTACTATTTCTCCACAAAGAAGAACAAGCTCTTCTCACCTCATCCCCCCATCAGCCGAGTTCATGAGATTAGCGGCTTCCTGAACTCCTCACCCTCCTAAATTGCAGTTGTGTCATTTCTTTCTCCCTGCTGGAGGGAGGGGCAGGACATGGTTGCACAGACAGCTGGAGCATTCAGGTGCACTTGAGGCTACAGACTTGGTACTTGGTGTCTTCTACCGGTAATGCTGACCTCGTCCAGCTTTCTGGGATTAGTGACCCTACAGAAACAACCTGTATTTTACCCCTCAAATAAAAAGTTAGAGAGAAATTTCCTGTATCAGAAATAGTGTGTCCAGCAGGAGTAAGGAAGTGATTGTATCCCTGTACTCAGCATTGATGAGGCTGCTTCTCGGATACTGTGTTCAGTTTTGGGCCCCTCGCTACAAGAAGGACGTTGAGGTGCTGGAGCGTGTCCAGAGAAGGGCAACAGAGCTGGTGAGGGGTCTGGAGAACAAGTCTTATGAGGAGCAGCTGAGGGAACTGGGGTTGTTCAGTCTGGAGAAGAGGAGGCTGAGGGGAGACCTCATCGCTCTCTACAACTGCCTGAAAGGGGGTTGTGGTGAGGTGGGTGTTGCTCTCTTCTCCCAAGTAACCAGCGATAGAATGAGAGGAAACAGCCTCAAGTTGCGCCAGGGGAGGTTTAGATTAGATATCGGGAAAATTTTCTTTACTGAGAGAGTCGTCAACACTGGAACAGGCTGCCCAGGGAGGTAGTGGAGTCACCATCACTGGAAGTATTCAAAAAACATGTAGATGTGGTGCTTCGGGATATGGTTTAGTGGGCATGGTGGTGTTGGGTTGGTGGTTGGACTTGATCATCTTAAAGGTCTTTTCCAACCTTAATGATTCTGTGATTCTGTGAAATTAGAGAATATTCACAAAACTACCTAACAGAAGGGCACTCCTGAGTGCATGAGGTTGTTCTGTGAACGTCACGAAAAAGAAGATGGTTCTACCAAGACACTAACCTTGCTTTTAATTTCCAGATGTCTCCCACAGACTCTGCGAGACCCTATGCGACCCTAAGTCACGCTTCCGTTCGCACCTGAAGCCCTCTGATGACTGAAACCAACAGGGATGCTCCTAGGGTAAAAGAGTTGATCATAATCAGACATTCAACACTCAACATTAATAATGTCAACCTCATTCTTTACTTTGTGCTGTAGGGTAACAGCTCTAGGGTAGTGAGTATCACTAAAGCAAGAGCAGACTTCCTACCCAGAGCACTCAAAACTGGGGATACTTACACTCTCTCTCATCAAAGCACTGCATTCAGTACACCAATGTTAATATTAGATAATTCCCTCAAATCTGTCACTGTCCAGCAAAGCAGTGTTTAAAGACCAATGAAATTGCTTTCAACAAATAAAGCACTAATGTAGTAATAATGGTAGTGTCCGGCTATCACAGTGAACAGAGCTGCAGTCTGCTAATGCCGTGGGGTCTGCTGCTAGACAGGAATTGCTCAGGGATATTATCAGCTGTTGTAAAATGCCTTGGCCACAAAGTTAATCATTAACTCAGGTCCTCGTTTTATAAAAACATCGTATTGTAAGAGCACAACACGCTTAAAGCTGTCACTAATCAATCATGCATACAACAGGAAAAAAGCAACACATAAAAGGAGCCAGAAACTCGGCAAATTCTTCAGCTGAGGGAAGCCAAACTGCACTGAGGTTTATCTCCATGGAGAAATCCACTGACAAGCTAAACAATGAAAACGGATCGCCAGCTCCTGGAGTACCACAGGCTGAGAAGGATAGTCCTGCGCCCACGGCAGAAGGTGCTGCAGAAGTGAGCGGAGCAGGGCCCCCAACAGAAAACGCTGCAGACGCGGAGAGACTGGGGTTCGCTGAAGAATGTACTAAGGAAATGGAGAGACCTTCAGGCACAGAGCGAGACAGTCCTGATGACTTTAAACCAGCGATTTCGGACAGTGGCTGTCCAAACTCAAAGCCTCTTGTTATGCTAAAGAACAAAAACTCTCCTGAAGTATGCAGTCTTGAAATGAATGGCCAGTGTTCAACCGCAACATCCATTGACATGGACTGCCTAGTCTGCTTCAACAAGTACAACGTCTACAGACTACCAAAGCTCCTGGACTGCCAGCATGCCTTCTGCGCCGTCTGCCTCAAGCTTATCCTCAGGAAGGAAGAGAGTACTTGGATAATCACCTGCCCCCTGTGCAGAAAAGCCACTTTTGTGTCAGGAGGACTCATCCGCACACTTCAGAATAAAGAAGACATCATGGAGCACTGGGAAAACCCCAATTCAAATCCTGAGGTACACGTCTCTGCCATAGGGCTGGACAGCAACAGCTGGACTCAGGCCAGCCAAGATGCTTTATACAGAGACGAAACCGTTCCGGCAGACAACAAACTGGCTATCCAGAGACTTGTGCTGCTCCTGCTGCTCGTGGTGATCCTCACCATCCTCATCCTCCCATTTATATACTCTGGGATGATAAAATGGGTAATTTGTCTCATGCTTGTTTTGGGGTTGGTCATGTCTATGGTGCTTTGTTGCACTCCTAAATTCTGCTGGAGGTTTAACAGGGACTCACTCACCTCCTGCCACAAGGAGACCCACATCACTGCTATCGCCTGAAACGATTAACGTGAGCTGCCTAAAGATAATGGACTGCTCCTGCTGGCAAAGCTGCGTGTTAGGCGCCCTAGTCACTTCTTGGACTTGGAAAGCAATCATTCACATAATAAATTCAGCAGGTGGCTGAGCTGGCTCAGTGGCAGTGCACAGTGTTGTTACACTTCACTACTGGAAACACAGCTGAATATTTATATGTTGATATTTATGAGATAAAAATTGTAGGTTTTCCACACAATTTTTATCCCAGACTAATAATTTTGTTGTTTTGCCTTTGTCATTTTGTTCTCGTTCGTGCCATCTCCTGATTAGCACTGCAGACCATTATCTGAAACACCTGGCAGATGATGTCCTGTGAAAATCCCGTGGTTGTGGTTTTCCCCTCTCTTAACACACGTACACTTTTTTTTGTGACCATGTGAGGAAATAAAACTGCTAAACCCAGGGACCGGGTGTGTAGCCTTAATAGAAGAGAGTAGCTTTAACTGGGAAACTGTTAACTGGGGCTGGGAAAGGGGATGTCACCAACTTAAACTAATGTTGTTACACACAAAATTAGAGAGGAAGAGGAAAAAATCAACATTCATCTAGAGTCTGTGGCTTGCAAAGGGCAAAGCTGTCAAAAGCTCATGACACTCCAAATTCCCCATATTATTTAGCACAGAAATAGTTCCTCTCATCTGAACTCCTTATACCTGGCTACCTGCACTGCCTCTCTTGCCCTCTTTACATTGTCTAATGTTGCCCTTGGAGATGCTCACAGTTCTCCTTCTGAACAGAAATATGTCAACTGCTATGCCACACCACATGTGATCTTTTTATATGGAATGCGTCCATTAAAGTTCAATAATGTTAGTTGCTCATCGACTTCTGTGTTTCAATTCCTCACCGACAATTAATGTCAAAACATTTCACAGTTTCCTCACTGACAGGAACTACGGCTGAGAAAGCGTATTAGGGAACCTGTACAACTGAGATGGTGAGCAAAGCAAAAAAGTAATGTGTTGTTTTTTTCCTTGATTTGAAAAAATACTTAGTTGCTAATAAAATATCCTATAAGCCAACTAAAATTGGAAAAAAATTAGAAGTTTGCTCTTAGTTAAGTTACCGTTTCAAGAGTACCATGGACCTCGGTAGACCTTGGATCAGGTCTGTGGTAAATATTTGTGTTCGATAAGAATGGAAACTGAGGTACTCCAGTTGCTCAGTATATAAATACACATAATGTCTCACCAGTAGATAAAACAGATTAGACTAAGAGGGTAAGGAGCTGCTGTCCTCCTCGAGTCCTGGAAAAAAACAGGTCTATTTTCTGCCTAAGAACACAAACCTTCAAGGGAAATACATGCTTTGTTTTTTCTAATATAGCTGGACAGCAACTGGCTTATTGCAGAATACATACGTAGTAACATTTGCCAATAACCAACCAGAAAAAAAGCTTTTCAAGTGGGAAAATGTAGGCAGTTTTAAACCCAAACATTTTATTGAACTGTATTATTCCAAATACTAAGACTGTACCAGATATTCACCTGTACTGAACATAATTTCAGAAACTCTTGCCAAGACTTTCAGCTCATAGACAATTTTCCTGTTGAGTTCCCTTCACCAACACTAATGGGCAACTGGTATGTAAAGGTTTGTAACAAATACATTAATACTGGCCTGAACGTAGCATGCATGAATGCATCAGAGTAAGCTAGAAGGGTTAAAGGAAAATCATGTGCTAATTGCTACAGAACACTGACCTCATTCAAGTGACCAGATAGCAAGGTAGAAACAGACTGTTCTAAAGATAAGATGACAAAGATGAACTGGACTAGAGCCATAAAATAATCCCAATTGAAAAAAAAAAAGGATAAAACTTGGGAAATTTTGCCTAAGAGGGGAAGACACCAAGCGAGATACCCAAGAACATCAACTCCAGAAGGGTGTATAAGTCACACCCAGTATCGGTTTGCCATTATCCATCAAGAAACATAATGAAAATTGTAGAGGCAGCATCCCTTGTCCTCTGTATCACTCACAACAGAGCCTGGCCAGCTCATGTGGGCTTGTCAGCACATGGGTGTGAACAGATGAAATCAGAGAATGCATGTGAACAGGAAAAATCAGTCTCTTAAGGATCACCCTGCCCTTCCAAAAGGGTGCGTTCAATTTTATCACACTGATTTCTACAGTGTCAAAATAATGGCTAACAGAATGGCTTCCTTAAGGCTGTATATTCTCAGTATAATCTCTGTGATTACCACTGGGAGACTGGCCCCCTGACAGAACCCCTATGGATCCATACAGTAAGATCACCAGCCGGGGAAGTCCAGGTTTCCACCCCCACTGCTTTGTATCAGCACCTTCCAAGCCTGCGTTCAGCAGTTCAATTGAAATGTTTCTTCAGCCGCTAACAATCCTCTGATTCAGAGTTCGTGGATGTTGGTGGGAGTCATTAGGCCCTAGAACCCAGTATCTTTATGAGTTGATGACTTGATTCTCATCTGACAAGAAAAGGCTTGATGACAATGCAAACCTTTGAAGCAGCAACTAAGTTTATGGAGAAAAGGCCAACAGAATTGTATTCCTATTCCAAAGCGTTAAGGATTTGCTTGTACACAGTTTTTCTTCATGACAGTCTGTTTGGCAAGAAAGTTTCAGCTCCGAATTACCTTGCCCTGCTTACCTTACCTAGCTGGCTTCCAGTTTCAGATAGTGATCATGGTAACACACCATAGCCTGGAAGAGCGAGGTTCATAAAGAGAAATGGGCCCAGGCAGTAATATTCAGCTGTAACTGACAAACTGCCTAAATATGTGAGACCTATGATTTACAAAGACAGAATCCCATCAAGACATTAAGAGCATGATAAGACCCAATAGCGGTATTAAGGATTATAGTCTGTACGGAGAGAATCCTGGACCAGAAAGTTCAAAGGTGTCTTGTTTAACAACGCATATACGCAAGCCAGTTTTAGTTCAAAAGTATGCCTAGCCTTTTGTCATTGTGCTCCCACTGTGCCCCTCTGCCCACAGGGCCCTTCCCAAAGCCACAACTTTCCCTATCCCAACCCTTTTTCAGGCTTCTCGACAACAAACGCCACCGCCATCGCCCACCACAGTTGCTAGTTACTTATGTAAAAGCGTGAGACAGGTGCCTGAAAAATTTTGAGTGTAGGTGTTCAAAATTACTGTTAAATGCAGAAGTCTCACTTTATCTACAGAACTTTAAATTATCCATAATTGCGCTGGCTTTGATTACTATTAAATATAGAACGAGATTCCATGTTTACAACATCTGGTAAAACTCACTCCTAACTGGCATTCCACTCAACGGATGTTTTGGTCCACTTTTAACACCTCTTCTGCGTTATCACACAAACAGGCAAAAATACACATGGAATAAATAACCCACTTCACACTTCCACATCGCTCAGATTCTGTACGAAGAGAACTTTAGGTCCTCAAATACAGAACTGTCGAATCTACAAGAATCTAATTTGCAGATTCTGGTCTGAGAGCACAGATTTGTGTCCAGGTGATTCCTTGCTTGTTGTGAACCTTTTGCAACTTGTCCACTGTGTTGTGCAATTACGTGAGTCACAGATAAAGCAGGTACCTTCTGCACCCTAACTGGGCCCAACAGAACTCATCTTCTGAACTTCAGTGTCACATTTAATGACTATCTGATAATGCTTAAAATACCTATACCTAACATAAGTACTTGTGTGAGTAATATTAGTAGCGAGCAACCTGGACAAGGTATTTGGCCAAATCAAAATCAGCTTTTAAACAGCATTAGTACCCAGATTTTTTTTTAATTTTGTTTATGAATAAGTCCCACATAGCACATTTTAAAGTATAAATCAGTTAGCTACCAAGCAACCAAAACCAGTTTTGCTTTCATGAAACATGATCACACAGAAAAAATACTCTCCTTCCCCTACAAAAACCCGATTTCTCAAAAAATTACTATGCATTGGACTTGGGGTTCCAGGCTGAGACTGCTCTCAGAGCAAATGCATTTCCTAAAGCCCCAGGAACACAATGCAAAAGCCTTATGCTTGGGTAGCTGAACTAACTCCCAAGACTTAGGATTTCTGCAAAGCCAATCTACCACAACGGAGCAGAGCCCCTCGAGCTGTGCCAGTAACCCCACTGCCATCAGGAGCAACACATATGGGGCCCTCGTATTTGCCTGATGAGTGCATGTACATACACACGCACATACTTCAGCTTCTGTTCATGTGGCCTTGGGATTCTACCCGGTAACACAGCATGAAGCGTGAGACACCACTGCAGGTTTGATTTCCCTCAGGGTAACCCTCGGAGACACCAACCTGTCCTGCGTGGAGGTGGCAAAGAAGCTTTGGGGCAGCAACCTGAGAGCAGCTTCACCAAACACACACCCCTACCCCTCTCTGTAACCCTCCCTCTGAGAGGGAGGCGTTCTCACAGGGGAAGAAAAGCTTTAAAGGGAGGAAAAGGGCTGGTACCTGTGTAGGCCTAAACCCTGAGTGAGGTACCAACGTGGTGGACAAGGCTCAAGATTGCAGACAAAGGTGGGCAGCGAGGCAAAAGCAGCTCTACCCACCTCGTGGTGGAGATGGACCTACCACGCCCCCCATGAAGGAGCCAGGAGCCGGACAAGGGCC